TCATCTTTTGGATATTGTCAATAATGCTGCTATGAATGTGAGTCCGCAAGTATCCATTATGGTTTGGTTTTGATTTTATGGGGTCCACTCTAGTAGTGGAATTGTGAGATCGTATGGCCACCTTGTTTAATGTTCTAGGACAAAGAACACTTTTTGAAAAGTTAAAAACATGCATAGAGTGAGGACAAGTTAGTGATTTATTTCACTCATTAATGCAGATAATAAAGCTAATTCAATGGAGAATTCAGGAAACTGAAGTGAAAGAAAGAATGCCGGAATTAGACTGCTAAATTAAATACAGATCTGTCAATGTTCCACAAGGCAATGAAGGCATAATCTTTGGCAATATCTTTCTACCTGACAGGAATAATTTGCATTTCCACCAGATAAGAAAATAATTTGTAATTCATCAGTCTTCTCTAAATTATTCAGTTTTATAGAGCTCGAGTCTTAATTAATAGAAAATGGCAACTAAATCGAAGTTATATTTTCATAGACAATCATGCATTCCTCAAGTAGACTTGTTAGAGGAGGCTTTAGTATGATACTTAAAGGGAAAATAATAATCTTTCAGACTGATATCCAAAATTTGCATGATTTCTATTAACCTTGTATTTACACCCTCCGATGGGCTTATAGTAGTTTTTGCATTCACTTTTGAAAGTACTGTTTTTCAGAGAAGTTTTAGGTTCACAGCAGAACTGAACAGAGTACAGAGAACTCCAAAATATTCCTTACCACCGCACTGAAAGACAGCCTTTCCCACTATCATACCCCACCTAAGTACGTATGTTGCTATAATTTATATACTTATATTGACACACAAAAAACTAACATCCATTATTTACTTTAGGAGGTGAATAGGCAAACAAATCATGGTATATCCAGAGGACCAAATTTTAAATTATTTTCTAAAATTCTTCCTTGAAATAATCTGCCCAAATCATCAGTATTCTTAAATTATATACACTAAAACTCATTCCATTCTGTACATAGTATGTCTCATCAGGGTAAGTCACCATTAAGCTACCTCATTTAAAGTACACATTTACAATATTATGATAGAATACTATATCCTTGACTTGTCATTAAGAGTCAATATGAAAAATAAACAGATAAGATTGTCAGTCCTCTTAAAAAAAACCTTGGTTTTTTCCTTCGGGAATGATCATCCCATTAAAATACACAAGTTGAATTCTTCCTTTATGTATTTAATTTTTCATTTATTTATACATGTATTACCATATCATTATATTAATATTTACCATGTTCTAGATCTAGTTAATCTAAATATGTTACAAAAATACATCTATCCCTCAAAGTTTTATCTATGAAAATGCTCTCCTTATGATACATATGCCCTGTTAATGGAAAGCAACACTTAAGTGTCTCATTGTGCTTTCTGCTTGGCAGGTAGTGAATGAATCTTGGAATGATTAACACCGCATGGCTGTTGTACATTTAGTTCTAGTTTGATTATTTCTGTATGCTTTTTATTATCGCTATTGTGTACCTCAAATTTTTACTAAAATAGAGATGAGTGAAAAATAGAGAAAACTTGAGACTTGAGACTTCATATACTTGATAAGAGCCTTTCAGCCATATTTGGGTTAATCACCTAAACAATTTGCCAGTAATTCTAGAATTAGGACATTTTACTTTGATATAATACTAGACTTTCTTATTTTAATAGAATGTTATATATATTATATATATATTATATTTTATATATATCCTAGATAAATAGACATAGATATATAAATATCTACAGATATATAAATATATAAAATAAATATATATAGACATAGATATATAAATATTAAGTTATCCTAAATATTCTTTATCTAGACCAAAAGATTGTGTTTTGGAATATATAATTTTATCTTCTCAGGTGTTTTTTTTTTTAAAGATCTTATATCAACATTTTATAATAATGTTCAAGATATATGGCAGGAATTAAAGCAACACTGACTTTTAACTGAAGGATATTTAAAAAAGAAGTCATCCTACCATGTCTCGGGTGGAACTTCAAACATTAAATCTCCTTTATATTGAATTTCCATTAAAATCATCACACATGCATACATTCTTTTGGGAGCATTATTATACATTACACTTATTTCAAAAATGATATGGTTAACTGTTCTAAAGTGACTCATTAAAATTATTTTTTTGGCTTTTAATAATTATTCTAATAGTGTTTCTCCATGTGAATTTCATTTTTCTAAATCCTTTTTGAATTCTAATCAATGGTTCTATATGAACTAATAATGTGTGTACCATTTGTCAGTGTATTAACTACAAAACATTATAATGAGAAGAACACTGTTTAGTGTAAAGACCCTGTGTAGCATTAGAAGCTTTGATAAAACCTGTGAGAAAAATTACAAGTGATATATGAATATTTTAATTTACAGTACATCCCACTTTTTAAAATGCTGCCATAAATGACTTTTAAAAATTATATTAATCAAATTATAAAGCTTAGAATAAAGGAATCAGTATGGGCTTGGAAATACAAAGATCCTGATTTAAATCTAAGATCTGAATCTTGGCATCTTTGACCCCATACAAGTCTTAACCTCTACGAATTTAGTTTCTTAATATAAAAAATAAGGATACTAACATCCTAATGTGATAATTAATATAGCATCGCTGTAAGGTAAATTAATTTAATTCCGATGTTTCAAACAGGGGAATACAAGCACAGAATACATCACACGCTTTCAAAAAACATTGACATAAATTACTCCTAAATCCCTAATTGACTTTTTGGTCCAATCATTCCTTTCAAAAAAATCATTTACTAACCATATATTGCTTTTCATGCTTTGGATACTAAGAATCACCTGCGAATAATCCCTAGCTTTACAGAAATAACTGCAGAGAATGCTGACAATCAATGACACATAAAACAATTTGAAAAAGACTATATAAATGGAACAGCCTGCAACCGGAGCATCAAATATGAGAATTACTTGGAACTAAGCACGTGAAGGAGTCCCGCAGCAGTGAAGGTGCCGGTTTCACCTGCTGTGTGTCCTCACAACTAAATTGCGGCAGCACAGTGGATAACCCTGCACTGTGAATGCAGGACCACAGCTTGCAAGAGAGCAACAGTGGAGCAGAACAGGGTAGGAAAGCCTATCATTGAGCTGTCTGTAGAAATACTAGATCAGTATGACTCACAAGAGGAGGCGCTTGGAGGCCACCAGGCACAGGAAGCAGTATTCTGGCACACAGTTGGCTGGGGCCTCATCATTCTCAAATTATGATGGTCTTTTACTTAGATATCAAAACTGTCACAATCACAGTCAGATATGAAATAATCAGTAGTTAATTGGTCCAGTAGTTAATTTTATGATACACATATATTTTGGAAAAAATGTTCACTTAACAGTGTAATGCAGGCCATCATTTTTCTAGGATTAGAGTATTCCTTTTACTTTCTGTTTAATTCATGTTCATTTGATTAGAAGAATGTTACATACTTTTTTCACTGGTCCAGAACATGTTCAAGGTCAACATATAACCCTTAGTTTTTTTCTTTAAAACCACCTGTATATGATTTTAAAGAATTAATTGTATTATATGTTGAAGTTTATAGTAAACATCAAGTTTAAGGAAGCTGTGAGATGTAGACAGATTACATCTTAATGCACCATCTGTACTTCAGTAAATGTATATTGTTACTATGTGAGTTTCATTTCTCCAATTACTGTAGTCTGTATATACAAAAAAATCACGAGAAAGTAAATCCCCCCAACTTTTTCTAAAGTCAATATTCATTCCTTACGCATTATCGTCATTTTATATATCTATAAAGCATGTGTTTTTATGCTATATTTATATTAGAAATGAAAAGGTCTTTAGCAAAAGGTCTTTCTTCCTATTTAATTGCTTGTATTTCAATTTGAAGTTTGTGATTTAATTCAGTTTGATCTTATGAAAGACTGTAGTGTTTTGTGAATTTTTAATATTGAAAATAAAGATGTTGAATTCCAATATAATTTGAGCACTTTTGTCATTTTCTGAAATCATTAAAATTAATTCAGAAATATAAAATGAAGTATAAAAGGAAAATCAAAAGACCTAAGCATATAGGCACCAAGTTTCACTAGCAAATATAAAACGTATTAAGATATTGAATAAGTCCCTTACTTCACATATTCTTAAAATATGTTTTGATAGAATTTAATGTTTACAGTTTTAAAATTAAAATTTTAGGAATTAGGTAAAAGCAAAATTTTCTAAACAGCATATTTCAGACATTTTGTACTAGTTTAAAATGAACTTTACTTAAACATTACAAAATTTTCATAGTCAAATCTCATTGGATTGACTCATTCAGTTCACTCTAAAATAGAATTGATAATCTCAAACTCATAATAATTCACAGATAGGAATAGTCAAGATAGCTTTTTCCATTTTAAGAAAAGATATCATTTTTAAAAGGCTAGATAGCATATAGGTACTACATATGTTATACACACACAAGTGTGTTATATATATATATATACATATATGTAACTATACTATTTTGTAATTTGCTACTTAGTAAGAGATGAATAGAAACATTTCCACTTTGTCCTTACCTATTTTATCTATTAATCAAGTTAAACTAAATTTTATTCTACTTTTCTGGGAAGAAAAGTAGTAATACTTTAGCAGTTCTCATGCTTTTATGATACACACTATCTGACCGACTGTTCCAATTGGTGTTGGTATAAATATAAAGCAATTATTGGTAAAGTTTTATTTTGACAATTGAACTAGCAAATCCTATAGAAATAGCCTTAGAAAGTAAAGATGAATAACCAAAAGGATCGTGTGTGTATGTTTGTTGTTGACGGAGTTCTAACTTACAGACTGATCTGCTGTGGTCCTGGTTGATATTAGAACAAATATGTCTGCTACTATTCATTGAAACCCCACTTATTCTGATGCTGAATATATTCGTAAAAATGATAAAATCACACCTACCCACACATCTTTTCTAGGACTACAGAGTTAACATCTTCCTGAGACAGAAATGGAATGATCCCAGGCTGAAACTCCCTAGTGATTTTCGGGGTTCAGATGCACTGACCGTGGATCCCACAATGTACAAGTGTCTTTGGAAACCTGATTTATTTTTTGCAAATGAAAAAAGTGCCAATTTTCATGATGTAACCCAGGAAAATATTCTTCTGTTTATTTTTCGGGATGGAGATGTTCTTGTCAGCATGAGGTACTCTTAGCTTCAACATCAGTACATTTATATTTTCCTTTCAAAATCTGTAGAACACAGATAAGTATACTCAGTGACTTCTAAGACTGTCTCTACTTACAGGTTATCTATTACTCTTTCATGCCCTTTGGACTTGACCCTGTTTCCAATGGACACACAACGATGCAAGATGCAACTGGAAAGCTGTATGTAACTGTGCCGCTAAGTGATTATGGGATAAAAATGCTTAAAACATACAGTCAATATTTTTGCTAATATCTTAGATAACACTTTTAACACTAGTTTCTGGATGACAAGTAACCATTAGATTACATGACTTAAGTAACTTATAGTTCTTCTGTTATATTGATTTGCAATATAGAAGAATGCTTTTTTGGTTCTAGTTCCTAATTCCAGTTCAACTCATGTCATACATATGTCTAAGTTATTCTACTTGTCAATCTCATTTGAATTTATAACATAGGCAAGGTAAAAGAGAACTGTCCTAATTTATAAAACTTATCTGATGTTAAAACCACATTTTCATAGCAGAAAGTTTAGAAGACAAAAAAATAGCCTTTATTATCTAAGGATTTATTATCTAAGGATGTATAAAATGTATTTTTCATGAAGTTTTCTGTATTTCTATATAGAAATTATTATTTTATTATAATAAAGATAATTTTTATTATAGATATATACTAGAAATGATTATCTGTAAAACATGTTACTTAATTTACTACCATATTATATTTTTTAAAAGGTCATAAATAAAATTTAAAAAAAAATTGTCATTGACATAAAGAACCATTAGCCTAAAAACCTGTATATGTGATTTGTAGATGGAGAGTAAAAAATAACAAACCTTTCAAATATCTTACATATGTCTGTTAAATGTTACATTTTAAAGTTACTTAGTGGTCATTTGCTTTTTCAGTTTTAATTTACTAAAACTGAACGCTATATGTGAATAATATGTACTGCCTTTTAGTACAACATGGGATTTTGTGGAGCTCATAAGTATACATGTGTGCACACCTTCTCATATGTGAGAAATCCCATATTTACATTTACATTTACATATTTACATTTACTTTTACTACCAAGTACACGATAGTACTACTTTTAAAAGTACATGCACTTTAGAATTCCATGATAGACTACACCATGCTTCAGAACCTCATAGAATTCTGGAATTTTAGCCACTTTATCAAAGCCCAAACTACATGCTTCAGGATTTTGTGCTGATATCCATTTGAGAATTTTTTTTATTGCTGTCCAGTGGCAATGCAGTTCCTTTAGAGAAATTTCTTCAAATAAATGTTTTCGTGCTTAAGTTTCTTTAATAATTTTCAGATAGTGTATTTCACATTAGAAAAGTATTATTTGCTCAATGATGATAAATCAGAATTCTGATAGAGAGGAACAAATTACTGTAGTACATGACACTACATGATTTCAATTTTTTGCAGCATGCTGACTATTTTAATATGTTCTTTCTGGAAGCCAATGATTTCTAATTTTTGTTCTAATAATTTCATTATGGCCATAGATTTTACCTTTTTATATACTTTTGCAAATCATATAAGGTAACCCTATTTCCTTATACTTTGTGTTAAATATGTTATTAACATTTTAAAAAGCATAGTAATTATATTTCAAACTAACTTTTTTTTGCTTATTTTTGTTTGTAGTTGGTTACACAACTGATGATTTAAGATTTATCTGGCAGTCAGGCGATCCTGTTCAGTTAGAAAAAATTGCCTTACCTCAATTTGATATTAAAAAGGAGGATATTGAATATGGTAATTGTACAAAATATTATAAAGGCACTGGTAAGTAATTTTCTTTAACTTAAACCAAACTGAGTCCTATTTTTAAAGTTTCATTTTAATATTAACATATGCTAAGTTCAAAATACAAAAAACTAGCTAATAATAAGTACCATATTTGTAAACAGTTTATCTTTACATTCATGGATGTAAATCTTAAGGTTTTTTTATTTACCAAAGTTCTTTTAATTCTTTTCATTACTAGATGGTTTTGCTTTTGTCTATGTAATTATGAGTAACAAGAGATTTAACTTTTGTGTTTTGGTAACATGAACTTTGCCATATAGTTTTGAATGTTGTCAAGAAAATCTACTTCTGGCAAAATTCTACTTGGAGCTAAATGAGAATAGAGATGGTACAGTCTGTATATAATTGTGTGTTGCTTTTTGGACAGTTTTTTAAGTAGTAACCACTACTTAACATATCCTTAATATTAAAAAGTGTTGAGCTTATGCTACATAGGAAACTGTAAGTATGTAAAAATCTGGACATCTGCAAATATTTCTTGTATAATATTATTTACCTAGGTTGTAGAACAGAACATTATAAAAACACGTAATTGGCCTCATTAATCAAATCACATCAAGTCTTTCACCAAAATGAAAATACAGTACTCCCGACTCAATACTTTAATAAAATGGTTTAATAGTCAACCTTTGCCATCTCTAGGTTTTGAGGGCTTTAGTATCAAGAGTATTATTTTACTTAGCAATGTAAACAAAAAGGTCATTAATCATTCATCATTACATTAATATTAATAACCAGGTCAGCTTATGAATTATCACAAAGCTATAATTCTGTGTCAGGAAGTACACCATGAAAAAGGTTCAGGAATTGATTTAATTGAAGCAGATGCTGAATAAAAACATATAGTGTAATAGTGCAGTATTTAGAGAGATTAGATCTTTGAACGAAAATGGTGTCATCATGAGGTCATTGAGGTCAAATATAATTTAAAACATTCCCACTGATAATGAAATAAAGGACAGAGTGAATAATTTCGTATGTGTATGTTATAGTCAATGCAATACTAAGCAACTTGGAGAAATAATTTAAGCATCTGTTGGCATCAAAATAAAGTGGAAGATTATATAGCATGTATACATACAGATAGCCTCTTTTATTATAAAACATATAGTATATTAATATGAGAGAGTAAGCATATACACTACTAAAAGAATTACCATCCCCCCCTCCCCCAAAGGAACAACTAAAGAGTTCAAAAAACTGTGACCACCAACGTATTCAACGAAGATTTCATAGACAGGTGGGTTGTTAGATACAAAAGTGATCTTCCTGACAATTCTAAGCCAGCACTTCTATTTAACACACACGAAGTAATTGAAGTACTGGGTGATTAAATGACTTACTGAAGAGTCAGTAGCAAGCATGGCTCCAGGAAATGTATTCCTTATCTTCCCTGTACTCCTCATTCAAATTAAAGACACTGATTAAAGATTTTAGGGATTTTGACAACTCACATAATAATGACAATAATAACCTTGCAGGCCAAGAAAAGTCCTATGGGAATATTGTGTGGGAACACATATTTAGTAGATCACTTTTTGATCTTATTATGTCAGTGATCTGCAGCAATTCCTTTTACTTAAGCCTCACCACAATCCTATGAGTTCAGTGTTTTCATGATCCCTGTTTTAGACAGTAGGGTAAGGAAGGAAGGATTCTTGCTGTTGTTGACGAGGAGTCAGAAATTGCTCTGTGCCCTGTGGAATCTATTCTGTCATACATTCAAATGGTTCCACCATCTGGATTATACACTTAGCACTTCCAAATGTGCAGTCTCTAAATTGTTTAGAGAAATTTGACATAGACCCCAGTGAAGTCTAAGCTCATCTAGAGATGAAAATAAAACTACTAATTTTATGCAACAACATAAGGTAATGTAAGAGCACTAAAAATCCCAGAGTATTCAATTATTCACCCTTAAACCCTACATTTAAAAGTCTCCATTTGGGGACTCAGTTGAGAGCAAGATGGGAATATCTCCCTGCCCTTGAATAGATTCATATTCTAGTATGGTAAACAAGTGAATGGAATAAGTAGGTTTCACCTTAGTTACAGAAAATAAAGAATAAGTTTTGTGGGAAAAGGGAATTTCTCAAGATTTATAGTCATAAAGGTTTATTTTGTTACTATAAGTCACTGATAAAACTTCAGAAGATAACAACAACAAAAAACTGCCTAACTTATTAACACTTGCTGTGTTTAGCAAACATACTTTTCAGCATTCACATGAATAAACAAATGAATATAAGTAAAACATGTTTTCAGGGTTGGACATTTTGAAATATAACTAAAATATAAAATTCACAATAAATGCTTAACGATGTATAATAGTAGAAAAGAGAGATCACAGCACATATAAACGGATGAGCAACCTATGGGAGAAAATATGGGAAAACGGGTATACAAAAATATTAAATGGTAAGCCTGAGTGAACAGCAAGAAGATAAAACTTCACAGCAAATAGAAAGTTAAATTGATTTGCCAAAGAACATTTACATCAATTAGCTGCCCATCTGATTCTCATAAATGTAACAGTACTAGGAAAAGATCAAAAAAGATCAAGAAATGTTACTCATAAAAGTTTATGGAGTAAATCACTATAATATCCAAGCATGTATTTTACTGCTGGTGCATTCAAGTCTTCTGACACTCCCTTTATGGGAGTCTTCATAGCCAGGACTTGGTGGAAAATGCTTCAGAATAGAGGACGCAAGACTTTGAGGCTGTCATTTACACATGGTGGGGGAGACTACAAGACTTCACTTTAATGTGAGCAACTTCATAGTAAATTGCTATAATATTGCTGATAATCCATAACCTAAAACACATAGTAAGCACATATATGTTGGTCTCCAATTTACATGTACTAGGGGCAGGTCTCCGTAACTTAGTGATGCTATCAAAAAGCGAGCAACTTCAAAACTATTTTTTAAAAATAGGGTAAACCTCTTAATTGCAGCAAATTAGATTCATGAAATACCGTATATTGGAATTTGCACATGATTATTAGAAACACCAGTTCTTGTTTGTTCATGTAGGAAATTTAGGAGAGTGGTGGGGAAGAGAAGAGGGAAGGAAATTTTTCTTTTTCTTTTTTTTTCCTTTTTAAAAATCCTATGCATGATTTAAATGAACTGCATAGTTTTAAAGAAATTAAACTTTAAAAAGACACTCTGCATGTGAATATATTACTGAGAAAATTTGGCATAATTAGAATTTGTCAGACCAACTAAACTGTTTGAGTTGCTTATACTCACTCAGTGGTAATAATGATTATAATTCACATTGGAAAAAAGACAGATTTCTTTCTTATTTGGAAAGGTTGTGAATAGCCATTCTTTCATTCAATATTCATTGAAACCCTACATTGTGCAAACACTGCACAAAGTACCAACAATAAGGAAACATGAAGGTTACTCTAGTATCAAAAATACTTTTGTATTTTCCAATGAGGAAAAATAAATGCTACTTTTAAACTAAAATTTATAAAAAAAATTGTATCTTTTTTATCCATAATTATTTTACTTACTCACCATTTATTTGTTATTTCAACATTTTCATTTTCAGGTTAAAATGAACACAATTGTGGCTACTGACATTTGAACTTCTTAGCACTGATGTATTGCCTTATAACCTTACTTTTATTGAATGGTGAATGATATTTGTATTTAACTTACACATTTTAAACATTAAAGAATGTATTGAAATGGCTAAGACAATATTTAAAATCATCTCAAACATCTAGAAATATCTCTTCTGTTCCACGGATAGTAAAGTATTTATGTCACTTACTTATTTTCCACTGTTGATAAAGCCTTTGAGACGACCCATAATGTGTAGATTAATTTGGAGGCGCAGTTGATGTCGTGGCAGCTCTAGAAGTTTGTCTGAAGGCAGTTTTTGCGTTGGTGTCTGCTTGTGAAAATGAAGGGTCTTTCTCTTAAGTAGAGGGAAGTTCAGGGCCTGGAGTGGAGCACGCGCCAGGGTGGGGACGAGCGCAGGTGTTGGCAGTTTGCAGTCTTAGTCAGCTAGATCGAAAACACATTTTTCTTATCCTCGTTGATGTTTACTTTCAATACGTTTTTTGTTTATTTTTTTGTTTATTTTATTTTACACACACACACACACACACACAAATAAATAAAATATAAAACTTATTCTTCATTTTGTACATTTTTTCATCTCAGCTGTAACCCCCCTGGACTTCCCACCACCATTTCACCCACGTGCCATCACCATAGTCCTGTGTGCTCTTCCCGCCACAGTTTTGGTCCTATTCCCCTCCCCCACTCCATGTCTCTGATTTATAGTTGTTGATTTTCGTTTTTACTTTATTACCATTGCTTTTTTTCCCTGATCCCTTAAGCTCCTGCTATGAGTGAAACCAGCGTGTAAGGTTTCATATCATAGGAGCTTTTGTAGATTTCTGTCCTTTCTAGACAAGGAATAGTAGGTGTGGCTGAAAACTTTCCCGACAACGCTTAGCCCAGGAGTGTTTCTTTTTATGCTGGTTCTGCTTTGATTCATTGCTCTCCCTATGACTCCTTCAGATCACTCACTCTGAGAGTGCCCGTGGGTAATGAAAAGTTGAAGTCCATTGCAAATTCTCTGAACAAAGACTTAAAAGCTGAGACACTGACATGGTGGAGCAGCATGTGGGATCTATTTCTCAATGTCATAATGAAGTTGTGAAAGGTCAGATGAAGCAGGTCCCATAATGTCATCCTCTTAGAGCCCATCAATTATATATATTTGAAGAAAAGCTTTTTTTGCAGGGAGTTTACTTTGTGAAATTGCTTCAAATAGAAGTGACAAACTTTAAAGGTGATGCATTATGGATGTCTGCAGTTGTATGTGAGCAAGAACCTCATACCTTTACTATGTTTGTTTCTGAAAGGCTACTACACGTGTGTGGAGGTGATCTTCACCCTGAGGAGACAGGTCGGGTTTTACATGATGGGCGTCTACGCCCCCACCCTGCTGATCGTGGTCCTATCCTGGCTGTCCTTCTGGATCAACCCAGATGCTAGTGCCGCCAGAGTGCCCCTGGGTAATCTGTTCCTTGCCTCTCTTTCTGGTGCCAGGGATGTGCTGCTTTCTGTTACTTTACTATTATACAATCAACTATTGTGAAACAATGAGTTTGACATTGATGACAATCTTTTTCTTCTTGTTAGATTTACTTCAAACCTTGACGCTTTGAACTAGATTTTCTCAAAATGTAAGCACTCTATAATTAAACTGAAAATTTCTTTTCCTGCCCTTGGAGGATTTGAAAAGTTAATCTGTCCCATTTTGTCAAGAAGTAATTATAACAAGTGATTTTTCTTAGAGAACTATAGTCTAAAATCGTCAATAATGTTAAACTTAAGTAACTATTTTGATAGAAATCTTTCTTAAAAATACTATAGGGTATCTAAAACTATTAAGCAGAGAATGTGTAATATGATTTATTTTGTTTAAAATGATTTAACATCTTTTTCCTAAACATCAGTTATTGCATGTTACATCATCAGTAGCAGTAGCAACAAGAAGTAAAGACTTTTGGGCCAGGTTTTCCAAGATTTTATTTTCAATGCTCTATGACATAGAAACACTGTTAGCCAGACTCATCAGCTGTTCCCTGTAAAGGGAAATCTCTGAAAAATGATCAAGAACTTTTCTTGTTTAGCATAACCCCTTCTAGCTCCATCCATGTTGCTGCAGATGGTACCAGTTTTTTTGTTTGTTTGTTTGTGATCGCTGAGTAGTATTCCACCATGTACATATAACCACATCTTCTTGATCGATTCATCTGCTGTGGGGCATTAAGGTTGTTTTCATACCTTGAGTATTGTAATAGTGCTGTGAGAAACGTAAGAGTGCAGGTTTCCTTTCAGAAAGTAAAATATTGGATGGTTTCACTTACATGTGGAATATAGAGAAGCCAAACAAGGGCTAGGAAAAAAAGACAAAACTTGCAAACTTACCATAGATTTATGGCCTCCAAGAAGAGAGGTCAAAACAGGGGAGGGGAGAGCATAAGGGACTGTGGTGATGAATCACAGGTGCTCTGGCCGTGGAGACCTGAGGAAAATACACCTAGGGGAGAAATCAAATACTGTAAGAAGATAAATAAATAAATAAATTGATTTAGAAATAAAAAGAAAGAACTTTTCTTGTGGATAAAAAATTTCAAAGTAAGATTTTTGTAACAACAAATTTTGATTGGAGTACTTTAAAATCTTTCATTACTCTGTGGTGTGTGTGTGTGTGTGTGTATGTGTGCGTGTGCGCACACTTGTGTGTTCTGAGTATCACCTGGAACTGATATAGTAGGTAAGTCTGTGCTATAGCTGACCTCTTTGTGAGTGATTGGTTACAGCATTTTTTTCTTTCATCAGAAAGGCCTTGTTTAAATCTCTCTCCTGACATATTGGAGGGATTAAATGAAATACAGATTTTAAAGAGTAGGAAACCAGGAAAGAAGCAGTGAAAATGACAGTTTTATCTGAATTAGAAATCTGATGGTTTATATCCAATAGAAACCACTACGACAATATGTACCCTAATAATAAAAAAAGTGAGAATTATCATTAGTGTTTTGTGACTCTCAGGAAGATAATGAAATTGACCAATTATTTGTGTTATGGGCTGATAATTGTGTAGTATAATGTAATCAGAATAAACACTTCCCCAAACTAGATTTAATCCCTAGATTTTTCAAAAATCTCACGTTTCCCCCAAATAGTCTTTCATTTGTTTGTTTAGTAGAAATAGCTAGCTCTAATGCAGTGATGTGAATTGAAATGCTAGGCTTTTTGGAGACATCCCAATTCCTGACATATCCTTGAAGCATTTTTCTCTACAAATCCCCAACCATCATAGGGCTTCTGACATGAGTTCCATGAGCTGTCACAGAGCATCCTGTAGACCTGTTATAGGGAACAGAGTTATTGATGGTTGAAAGTAATCTCTAGAGTCAATTCTGGATTTGAACTCCAGTTCTGTGATTACTTTTTGACAACTTGGACAACAGACTCATGATCTTTTGAAATGTCCACCAGGATAAAGGAATAATCAATGGGCCATTTGGAGAATGGGGGAAAAATGAATATCAAATCTATATTCACATTCAGAATTTAATCCTATGCTCAGTTATGTGACTTTATAGTTTATGAAGCTTTCTTGTGCATTTTAATTCATTCAACAATGTTTATTATGTACTATATAAAGTACTGTTAAAAAAGAAGGGGATCTATTTAATGAAGTTTATAGGTAACAAAGTATAAATAGTCCATAAAATAGATTTAATATCAAAGAAAAACCTATAACCTCAATGAGTTTATATTCTCATATTCCTAGTAGTGTAATATATAATGTATAATACCAGATATGGAAATACATGCATGCAGGAATAGCAGCTTGTAGTCAAGAATAGTGCCAATGAGAAGTGATGTTGGTTAAGGAATGGAATCTTCTAGATTCAAGGGTGGGCTGCATAGTGATCATGTTAGGGCAGCCTTACCAGGACAGGAGTGTGTTTGGCATATTTGAGTGGCAGGAACACCTCCCAAGTTGCATTTTAGAAGCAAACAGAAAGCTTCATGGCCAGATCAGAATTAAAAAGGATTAAAAGATAAGGTCAGAGATATAATGAGGGGAAGGGTGGGTCTTCCAACTCCTCTTAAGACATTCTGAAGATCTGACCTTTATTCAGAGTGAAATGCATGTCCCTGAGGCATTTTGAGAAAGACTTGATTTAAATTTTAACAGTTTCTCTTCAGTAACTTGTTTTTAGAATAAAACTTCAAGGAGATAGGCTGGAAACAAGGGATGCATTTGAATTACTCAGATGCTTTAATCATCCAGAGACAGTAGTCATGGTTTGAGCCAGGAAAGAGTAGTAGTGGTTCTGAAAAATGAAGAATGTATATGGCACAGATAAAAAAGATTTATAAATGTGTTGTATGCAGGAATTAAGAAAGTAGAAGGAAGGCGATTTCAAGGTATTTGGGGCTGAACATCCAGAAAGAAGAATCGCTATTAACCTCTACAGATAAAGCTTCATGTAAAGGTTTGAAAAGACAGGCAGAGTCGGAGCTGGGTTTGGAACATTTCTGAAATTAAAATGTCTACTAGGTGAAGATAAAACAGTTTATGACATGCAGTGGCCTCTATAAAATATGTCACTATAAAATTCTCACGGCATATTAATGAGCTGAGTAATTGGTTGTGGTTAATTAAAATGGAGACAATTTTACAAAACATTATTTAACAATGAACAAAATTCACTTGAAATCTTTATTAAGATAATGCTTTTATGTAAATATAAAATAATTATTGTCTTCCTATTTTAAGATAAAAGAAACAAATTGCTATCTTCTATTTGAATAGGCTTTCCTAAATATTAGGTATGTAGTCATGTTCATATTATCTTCTTTACTTACCTCTGTTTCTCTGAAATAATGAAAATATTAATAGAACTGAACACCAGTGTTTCTAACTTAATGTATAGAATTTTAATTATCTCCCCTCTCTCCCTTCAGACCTACTAATGACATATCCCTCCTGGTTGGTCTGACCCTTTCTCAGACACCAGAGCATTTTGGTTTCATCAATTTTCTTCTGTCCACCTGACCACTACCTGAATACTGACTAATCTTTCCTTTTAAAATACTTCTCGAGTGCACTAGGCTGTATCCTGGTTACCACTTTTGTTTTTCGGCCTTTAACCTTCCTTGGTATTTTCACACCAAAATCATCAAATTCTGTAATCCTCACTTCCCATCTTCAATGGGTATTTTTTGAGTCATCTGTTTAGAGCTGTTGCTCTGTCTTTTCCTTCTTCCTTCAGTTGATAACCAAGTCTTTTAAATGTTTTCTCCAAAATCCTTTTGCATGGCTCCTACTCTTCATTTCTCTATACTTTATTTCTGCTACTGCTCTTTTCTCCCTTCTCAGTCTATTTCATATATGCCTACCAGAGTGATGCCACTCAAAGATTCTTTTGAGGATCTAGTTTCTCTTCTATCAATTTAAAATTTCTTGATGTTCTCTATCAAGTAAATTAAAAAATCCACTGGACTTCCAAGAACTTCTATAATCTGGCAATATTTTCTTTCAAGGGGAGGGAAAAAAAAAGCCAGGTATATATTTAATTATTAGGTTAACATAAATCTAAGTACAAAATGTGCACTTGGCCCTGGAAGTGAAAGGGACTCACAGAGCTGAGGCAAAATAATACCTTTGTTGATTTGAAGTGAAACTCCCTTGACATCCTATGAGCTTCTTTCTGAACAAGTACATTATGGGTGGTCTGTGCCAACAGGTCGTGTTGTCCAGCACCTTCTGAAAATAGGAAAAAAAGGGAAAAAAGGGAAGAAAACGGGAGTGTGGCAAGAGGAAGATAAATTATCACATTGTCCTTAGGGGTTTTACAGTTATTTGACTTAAATTGATATATAACTGGTTACATAGTTAATATTATTTATAACAGAATTTTACTCATTCCTTGAAAGGTTGACATGCTTTTTGCCCCTGAAATAATCAGAAACATTCACTACTTTGTCTTTTCTATTAGATTTTCAAAATTTTGAACCAATCAGTTATTTTATATGTTCTGTGTTCTATTTTTGTTCCAATTTAGTTGCTCATAGGATAAAAGTAAGTTCTATAGCTGCAATCTGTTTAAAGCTAAAAATGAAATAAACCTGTCCAATCAGAGACCTTTCTGGCTTCCTTAGAGAGATTATAGAATAGTTTTAGACATCTCTATTCGCTAAATCAAATCTAAATCCAAATATCCATATTGTGATATTGTGATATTATACCCTAGGTTTCTGGGGAGGGGGATTTGGTGTGTGTGTGTGTGTGTGTGTGTATGTGTGTGTGTGATGTCACATGTTTATTGAGTAAGGAATGAGGGTGGAGGGTGTTTATCAGAAGAGAGGAGATGTAGAAATGAACCAGACACTACCCATTCTATTGTCTTCTCATCCATGCAGACAATCTATCACTACTACAAAGTAGAAAACCAGCACTCAGAGATGATGCTTATGTTGATTACTCTTTAAAAAACTAAATATTTACAATCTTCCCAACCACAATCAAGAATCCTGACCTAAAAAGTATGCATACAATATTTGTTCTACTCCTGGAGATTTCAGGGAACATTGCTCATAGACAAATGTGTTACAGAGAATGGTGAGGGGTACCCCAGACCCCCAAATCTGCATGTTCTAAAATGTGTCTAAAAACAAAACTTATGTTAGTGCATAAGACCTTCAATGGATAAGAAGTTTAATACAATTAGAGTGCACTAGAGAAATGAGAAAGGATATAGTTGAAAATTATTTCCAATTAAACACCCAACCTTACCAATCCCCTCAAGGGTAAGTGCTCATCCAAATAGGGCTGGGCCATAGCAGGGCCACTGAAAGCAGAAAGCCCACTACAAATCGAAGGCACCTTCTGGAAGGGACCCACAGGACAAGAGCAGAAGAGGCCAGGCAAGTCTGGAAGGGAAAGAACAAAGTCAAAAGATAAACAGGGCCCTCCTTGATGGTGCAATGGGTTAAATGCAGCACTATGAAACTAGTTGCAGCTGCTTTAGCCCAAGTTTGGTCCCGGGCCAGGAAGTGACCTGGCAGACATCTCTTGACCCACCCGCTGCTCCCCTCAGCAGTGTACTTCGTCAATCTCCCTGTTCTGCTCCCCACTCTGTCTCTGGTGAACCCTCTTACTGCCCCTGCACCTCTGTTCTGTATGCATGAATAAACCTTTTTTTAAAAAAATCAAGATAAAAACAAAGTCTGCCATTGCTCATCTCCCCACTGGTCCCTCACCCATGACTCTGTCTCTTCCAATTGTTTCTGTCCATGACCTCCAAGTCACTAGTACAAAAACCAAGCCGAGAAGCAAGCTCAGCTTCTTCATGTCTCTCTGCTTCCTGTGCCTCCTCCAGATCTTTTTCTGTCATTTCCTGCTGCTTCAGTTTTTCATCTCTACTCAGTTCCACCCCTTTTTGGGTGAGGCAGGGAACCTGGACGCTCCACTTTCTATGATATCACACTGTTCAAACTGGAAGGAATTGGGAAGGGATTTTGGTCAAAGGTAATGGTGGAGGAACATTGCCATAGGCTGGAAAAGGGGGGATTCAAAGTTTTGATTATAACTTCTGTGTCTGCAGGTATCTTCTCTGTGCTCAGCTTGGCCTCGGAGTGCACCACCCTTGCTGCTGAACTTCCCAAAGTGTCTTATGTGAAGGCCCTGGATGTCTGGCTCATCGCTTGTCTGCTCTTTGGGTTTGCTTCACTGGTGGAGTATGCTGTTGTCCAGGTGATGCTGAACAACCCCAAACGAGTTGAAGCAGAAAAGGCCAGAATTGCCAAGGCAGAGCAAGCAGATGGAAAAGGTGGCAATGCAGCTAAGAAGAACACGGTGAATGGCACAGGGACTCCGGTCCACATTAGTACTTTGCAGGTAAGACTGACATGAGCCAACAACATCATTTCCCCTGTTCTTTCTGCCATGTCAGGAGAGATGCTTGATTCATGCTATTTTTTCCCTGCCAAGTGAATGTACATGTATCACCCTATTCCCAAGCACCATAGTACACACCATGCATGGTGAACAGCAAAGGTGGGCAATAAAATGCAAAACGGTGTGCATGCCTGCAGATTTGAATAAATTAAAAGATAAAATGTGTTGTTGGTCCTTAAAAGAGGTAGTTGTTTATTTCTGGCAATGTTTTAAAAAATAGAGATTGGTTTAAATTTGGTGAAAGATATAGATATTATTTGCTTCTGCTCATATTTTTATTATTTGCAGTGATCTTTATCGTCTGTAGAAGAAATTATGTTCACCATGAAATCACACCTAGCTTTTTAAATCAGAAATATTACATAAGGTGATTTTAAGTGTGTGCAGACTCAAGCCAAAAAAAAAAAATTAGAGCAAAAAATAGAAGCATCAGGAAGTTTTTATCTGCATCATTTTTAATTATTGACAATTTCATTATCATACTACCTAATTTTTGCTCCCAGTAGTTTTCAGAAGTGACAGGTTTTTATGATGAAAGAAAATGAGATACATTTATATGAGGAATATTTAAAAAATTATAAATTAGAGATTATTATAACCAATATCACTTTAAGAATCTGTTAAGTATGTGTTTTATTTATAAGCAGTTTAATCCTTCTTCTTGTGATACTGTAATTGTTTAAAGTAGTATTTATATTATAAACTCAATGTAATTTAATGTACAGAAATGATATGATAATTATGTGCAAGGAGTATTAACCAACAAGAAAGTTATGTTTGTATAAAATCCTAATGAATAGGAGTGGGGCCAGCCGACTGGTTAATGAATCATAAGCTATTAAGCAACCTGAGGACTTCTCAGTAGGGAATGTAATCTTATCACTTATTCATTTGTGTCACATCATTAAAAATTACTTCTTTTGCCGAGATCCTTTCAGTACACACACACACACAGACAGACACACAGTTCTCTAATGATTTCAAATATAGGGATCTTCAAATATACTCTGGAAGATGGTATAACAGATTATGTGGTTAAGTTTAGTATAACCAATTGAAGATTTTAGCTTGAGAGTGACCTTTCAGGTTACTACTTTAATGTAGGAGTATTCTTTTATTAACATGTTGCTATAGTTAAATATTTTCTTTCAATAAATAGAACATACTCTAATTTCGAATAGACTGTGTGGGTAAATTCCTAAAATGATCCATATATCTAGCAGAATCTAAGAAAATAAAAATAAAATAGACTAGGACTGTGGAAGTATTTGTGTGTGTTATGTTTATAATATCAAGAAAGTTTGGCTACTTGTTCATCTATTTATAAATAGTAAAACCACACTTTAATTCATATATAACATATTCTGTATAGTAAACACATTTATATAAGTAAGAATTCATACTTCCCAAATTTATTGTAGAGGTCAGAGTACTTTGTTCTGCAAAGTGAATTTGTATATTTTAAATGTTTGGAGTGGATGCTTCTTAAGGGAGAAAGAGAGATTGGAAACCCAAAGTGCCAGATTTTAGAAGATTACACTGTAAGTCTGAGGATAACGCAGAGATTTGATGCGTAGACTTTGACTATTGTTCCAATCTAGGCAATGATTTACTTTTTACAAAAGCTCACTGATAGATGTTGAGACTTACACATTCCTCCAGCAGCACTGGAACATTAGGGCTTTAAATGCGACCTGTCTGGAACACTCACTGGGAACTTATGTGAATGTGCAAATCTGTGTTGTATCTGGTAGTGGAACCTGGAGACAGTCTGATTGCTGCAAATGTCCCTTTAAAATTTCAACTTGGGGAATCTAAATGGAAGATCTGGAAAGAAATTTTAGATGTACACAAATGATTCATTTATATGAATGACTTCCCCAACAAATTTATTTTTAGTTACTACCTTTGTTCTTTTTCTTTTTTTCTTTTGATGAGTCCCTGGTGTTAATTTTTCCAGACATTATCCTAGACAAAATATAGATCGATGTGGACTAGACCCTAGCCCCAGGATGGCTCCATCAATAGCCATCTCATCAAGATATGATCATTCTTTTTAATGCAACTGAGCTCTCACAATGGATAAATTATACTGCACAGTTTTAAAAAATGGGGATGGAGAATCTCTTTTTTCAGGTTGGTCTCCATCAGCTAAAACAAACTCCTACTGAACCAGGATGCAACTTCGTTTCCATTATGCTCTATTATGGGTTAACATATTGGTAAATCACATCTTTTTTTCTTAAACTATGAACTATTCAGAAGGGTGAACATCCAATTCCTCAATGCCCGTCACTGCCTGTTCTTAATATCAACATTTTTTGTTGATGTTTTGTTTGATATTTTGTATAAGTACCACGTGCACCACTGGAGCTCCTGATATTTTAT